TTTGCTGCTCATCAATGATGTTGCTTATGAAAGTATGCAAAGTATGTAATCAGCCGTATCTTATTGTACGAGGCAGCTGTTCTTTTAACTCGATAAGGTATACGATACAAAAGGTACAAACTTTGATAACTATGCAACCCTGCAAGTCGAGACAGTATTGCCTCCAATCTAAAAGGAGAGGCACACGGTGCTCTTACTAATTTTTCAAAATGCTGCTCTTAAATAGCCAGCTTCGCTGGTTGTATCGATGTAAATGTTGGACGACGATTTCTATACGCCGAATGTGAATATCATATCCATTCGGCACGATAGCTTTTTACTGCAAAGCCACGATAGTTACACTGTCGACAGTCATGTTCTTAGAATTCCCTAAAAGATTGTTTAGTGACGTTATTCAGAGTGCAGAATTAAAAACAAAATTGGCTCAATCCCGGATATTTTACAGCAAGTTAACGCGACGTTTTAAAAGCCTGCAGTCCACATATCTATTTGAAAATAGGGATTTAGAGACAGCACAGCAAACATCTTCATTATGAAAGTTTTTAAAAATCTTGAGACTTTGCCCACATTGCTCTTGCAGTGCCCCAACAATAAGACGTTCGAGAAGTTACAAATTCTGTACACAATGCGTCATAATGAAAAAGACACTGTTTCTAATTATGTATCAGCCATTCAAACATTGAATTTATAATCATGCGTGTACAATGACGTTTACGCAAGTTGATTAATATCACTTTACGAACTTTTAGAACTAAAACCACACGTAATAACGTGGCATTTAAATCATGAACAGCTTCACTAACATTACATTAAAAGGAAAAGATTAGTATTGTAAGTGAAGCAAATAATGCGAAGATATATTGTTACTAATAAAAATAATAATAATAGAATCCATGTAGAAGCTAGCCTCGACGTCATGAACCGTTTAGGCCACTAAGGACTCAGTTATAAGAGGCAGAACACAATGTAAACTCGTCACTTCATAAGCCGATATAGAGCCAATATTATATAATGGAAATAGCCTCAGGCAAAGTCCGTGAAGGGGGTTTTAATATGTTTCTTAGCTAA